GTTGCTTTTTAATTTTTCGGAGCTCTCTAAAAGTCAATCAGTGGATTATCACTGAAAACAGCGAATAGTCACTGATTTGCACTGAAAATCGCAATGATATACTTACAACTGTAATGACTATTCACTGCTTTCAGTGATAATGTATTGAGTGATTTTTAGAGAGGGTCGAATCTTAATTTGGCAAACGGGATTTATTTAATCGACAGGTTCTCAAGTCGACCAATAAAATAGATTTCAATATAATCGCAACTACTCTCATCTCGCTTAAAATCGCCACATCTTTGTCACTCTCCTGTTCTGTGGGTAGTTTTAATTAGTGCTGAAAGACGAAATCCGTTTAGGATAATTTATGTTAATGCAGAAACAAATCGTTTTTATTATATATTTATAATTTTTTATAAAATAATGCCATGCGCCTGAATTTATTTTGCCGAATGGTGATATTTCTTTTCGTCCCGGCCAGTATGTTTTCTTTATCTGTAATTTATGCGATCATCGCCACCAGCCTTTCCCCTTTCTACAAGTTTATAAATATTTACGTCGGATTTCTAAAAGTCTCAGACGAGGTTTTACAGATAACTGCAAATGAGACGGCCAGCCGTCTCGTTTGGTGTTGAATTACGTCGCTAGACTGCTCCGGAGAACTTGAAATCCCTCATCGAAGGTGACGCCGGTCAGGATGTCTGGAAATATTTTACATTCTCTCGAAAACGGATCGAGGAAGAATCCGGTTTAGCAAACACACACGAACGTAATATTTCCTGCATTTCTTTTCATATCGCGCATTTTTGTGTTACAAGTATTAAAGGCATCTTTTCGCTTTTGAACAATGGGCGACTGGACATCAATTGCCTCTTTTGTTCATCACAATATAGACGCGATAGTAACGTAATGATTGCGTGCAAATGTAAATACGGTAACGCGTAACGAAACCTTCCTTCACGGTCGTTCCCTTATTTTCGTTTTCTCGTGCTTGCTTTTTCGCGCCGACATTAAGCGACTCCTGCCCAGGAACTGTAACCGTACGTTAGTACCTGTTAGCTAAACAAAGGCCCATTGTTACGTCGAAATTTGGTCGATGCTACCTGAAGAAAGCCCGACCAGTGATATACACGAATCGTATCGAGAGACCAGTTCGCATTCTCTCAAACAAGAATAAATTGCTGCATGATAATTTTTGACCGCTGATCATTAAGTATAACAATCTTAATCGTCTTCTCGATATTTTTTTCTCTCACGCTTTCTCTTTTACGTTACAAACAAAAATCGTAAAATAGATATCCTCGAACCAAGCTCTCGCGAAGAATTCGTAATTGCGGGGAACTTTCATATTCGGTAATTATAACCGTATGTGTATACATGGTAACTCTTTTGGTTTTATTTTTTACTCTCGTATACAATACATCTCTTACACATCGACCACCTAATAGTCACGTTATGCGCGGTGTATTATTAAAAAGTACGGAGCACCGAAAATTAAAATGGTCTCGACGTAGCCGGAGCTGCAGTTTACAGCTGCAAAAAGCGCAAATCACGAGAGCAGCGATTCGGCGACGTGGTTGACGCGCGACGACAGCGCGCCAGGTATAATGAGATTTTGCCGGAAGTCGCGTCGAAGGAGGAGCGAGAAGGCTGGGGAGCCCGGGCCCCCGTGCTGGTCGGCGTCCTCCGTCCACCACACAGAAGCGCAGTTTCCTCGGTGGGGCGCCCCCGCGGCGCGGGGTCCCCGTGAACGAATCTAATTAAACGCTAAATTGTTATTTTAAGTTTAATAACAACCATAATGATCTCGCGCCCGAGCCGGGGCTCTGTTATTATCTAGATTGCATATTTTCTGGTAGATTAAGTTCCTTAAGCGAAGGGAGCTGCGCTCCCGGCGAGTGAGCAAGAAGCTCCCTCGGATGAGCTTGATGCAACCGAGCGCGGGGAATCTTGCCTGGTGGCGGTGCAACGCCACTTTGCAAACTGCATCTCGCGGCGTATGCAACCGGGCCAATTACGCCGCGTTGCCGCCTCGGAAGAAAATTCGTACGAGTCGCGCAAAACCGAAACGTGACCGAGGTTTTTAAGAATTCCACATTAATCGCCGAAAAGCGACGTAAAAATGGTCTAACAAGATTAAAAATTTTCATTTTTATGTGTTTGATCTTGTAAATAATTCTATTGGACGCACATTCTTTCCGTGTATCGTATGATAACTAGATTTTTATATTAATAATTTTTATTGTATAAAATTATTGATAACATTAATTGATGCAATTTTCAATTTTATTCGTTACGCGAAATTTTTAACGTAAACTCACGCGTAACTATTTGCAAAATGTTATATTAATACGAAACGCTTGTATCGCAGAATATTTCAGTTATTTCAATGGCGTTTAGCAAGGTGATGCTCGCAAATATTGGTGAGTGCATCTCGCCGCTGCTTTTTCAAGCGCCTGCATGTATACGCGATGGCTTTTTAACGCAAATTCTGCAGCACGCGAGTACAGTACGTGGGCATTCTCAGAGAGCGATTCGTCATCTCTCCTACCGTCACGTCACCCGATCGCGAAACACGGTGCAGCAATGCGTTTCTTACTGTCGCGAGTAAACGTACGTAGGTTTCTTTCCGCCGCGCCATTTCCCTCGGTTCTTTCCTTCGTCGCCCTTGTCCGTTACGCGACGGTAATTACACCGCCGGGTCGGAAAAACCGTTGGCGAAATACACGAGTGCGGTATGCGACCGAAGCAAAAGTAAACGCCTCTCTACAAACTCGTTGCAAACGTCGTACCTGCAACTGTACCGATGAGAAAAGCCGGTACGTGTCACGGTACCTGCGGCTAATCGTGCGCGTTGCTCCGAATTGCAATTGGGATTATGAAAAAAACATGCTCTATGCTAAACTGGATGCCTGACAAAACGAGAGCTGATTAATAAATACAAATTCTACACATATATCTATACATTATGTATTCATATCTAACTACATGTGTTCATATTAGTTCGTTTTTATTTAGTCATTTTAATCTGTTAGTCTCTTAACCCTTTGAAGCATACATTTTTCTATTAAACCATTCTTTTTGTGAAACTTCGTATATCAGGGCTTTTGGGGTCGCTGATTACGAATCCGCTGTCAGACTTTCGTACTTCAAATGGCGGAGTTCAAGACTTAAAAGAATAACATCATTCAACTGTAATTCAACTGTGCTAAGAAGCATTATTTAGATATTATTAGGATCCACGGAATCCAAATTCCAGTTGAAAATTCTTATAGAATATAAAAAATAGCGGAAATTTTGAAGGAAAACATTGAATTCCTAATCAGCAACCTAAAAAGTCCCTAAATACCGTAATCAAATGAGAATGCTGAAGAACTTGAAAACTTAAAAAATTCACGTACTTTGCATCCGTCATTTTGGGTCCGCCATTTTGAACTTTGAAATTCCGACCATCAGATTCGTAACGAGCGACCCCGAAAACCCATTTGTACAAAGTTTTTAAGAAATAATTTTAAAAAATTTGGTTAATAATGAATTTTTTCGAAAAAAATGTTCTTTTTTTCATACTTGTTTATTTATAAAACTTACAATAAATATTCAAGACCACTCAGCTTTTTTTATGTTCTCTTTTGCTGAAATACCAAAAAATGCAAAAAATTCGACCTAAATGCGTTAACTAAAAATTAAATGGCCAAAAAGTAAAGAAGTTGAGGTGGTAATTTTGAGATACTTCGTCTAATAAAATGAGTTCCCGAAATATAAAATTCCGCACGGAAAAAAGGAAGGCTGGAAGGAGAAGATTTCTAATGAAGCTCTCATTTCGTAAGACACACCGAGTAGGTAACTGCATCCGTAGCAATTATCTCGTTGCAATTAGAGGGGGGCTACGTATCTCCGAGAAAAGAGGGGTTCCGCGGGCAAAACGCGATCTCCTTTAAACGAATTGTCGTCGTCAGTGCTTCAAGAATGCTCTACCAGCATGCTCCTTCTTATGGTCGAGTTAGCCGGGTATAGGAAGTATTCTCCCCTCCCTTCTCCCGCTCTAATGGCGGCATCTAAAAAGTGCCGGCGAGTTTGCCAATTAAGGAGCACTATCCGCGGCGTACGTTCGCTCGTAGCTGGTCCAGCGGTAGAAACGCGCTATACCGAGTCGACTCTCGAAGCCGTATTCAGTTTATTAATTACTATGCAAGCCGTGTGCGCCGCTTCGCCACGGTTTAAATCATCGGTAAGAATCGGCACGAAAAGCCGTCCCGGTACCTTCCCTTTTCTCAGTCTCACCGCAAACGAACGGGAAAAAGTTTCACTCGAAATGGTATCGCATGCGAGCATGTCCCAATACCGAAACCGGATGAACTTTCACTGAAGAACCCCGCAGAGATACAGCGACGGAGCTCCCTTTGGAATCTCGTGGCGTTAATTAACCGCCATATCGGAGTAGAACGGATCGGAATGTGTTACAGAGATCTGCCTTGTATCGAGCGTTAAGTTGGCGCCGAGTTACTGAATATAATAAGGTTCTTACGTTGCGTCGAACATTTTTCTGACGATACTGGTTTTTTTTAACTTTGTATAACTTGAAAGCCGAAATTATTCCTTGTCAAAATATAATCTATTGTTAAAGCGAGTTATTAAATAAATACAACGAGAGAGTGCGAATCGCCAGTAGTTAATTAACAGTAAAAAGAATTGTTAGACGACATTAGGCAAAAGTCCATGGGGTTCGTTAGGCTGAGTCCTACTGTGGTCGTCGGACGGACGTGCCTCCGAGCATATTTCTCCTAGTGACGCCTAGAGATGGATGTCAAACCTCCGTTTTTAATTTAATATCGATGACGTAATATTTTTTATCAAATTCGTTGAAAAGGACGACAATCCGTATGGTCGAAACGTCGGAATCATACGACAAAACCATCTGCCAGCCTAATGTCGTCTAACAATTCTTTTTACTGTTGATGAAATAAATGTAAAATAATTCGTCTGTATTCTAATCCGACATCTTTTTTTATGCATTGCAGGCTCTCCTTGCGAGCACGACGGTATCTGCGTGAACACGCCCGGGTCCTTCGCGTGCAACTGTACGCAAGGATTCACGGGTCCGCGATGCGAGACGAATGTGAACGAGTGCGAGTCGCATCCGTGTCAGAACGACGGTTCCTGCCTGGACGATCCTGGGACATTTCGATGCGTCTGCATGCCTGGTAAGTACGTCGCTCTCTATAATTTATCTCACGATACCCACCGCGGATGATTACGTGTCCCTTTGATATCGCATCCCGCACTTTTCTCCCGAGAGAACGGCGACGCAACTCTTCGCACGTCCTAAAAGGAACACCGCGCGATTCCCTCGCGTGACCATGAACGTGTCACGACCGAAACCGAAAACACACTTCGGCCGCTTTCACGATGGCAATTTCTTTTCGAACTGTTGTGCCATTTATGTGCCGCGCAAGTAACTTCTATATATATCGGTCGCTATACGTTACACATATTTCCATCGTTCCGCATGCTTTTTGATCGTTTCATACAAGGCTGTGAAAGTAGTAATTACCTTCGGAAGTGCCGGCTTCCCTCGAGCATGGATCATTTATTTTCGCGGTCCTGTCGCTCGAAACGACGGTGAGTTTTTTTTGACGTTTTCGCGTGAGAGGTTTTTGTAAAAATGGTTCCTTCCGTTGGAAAGTTTATATCTCGTTATGGTAATGATCGCATCACGACGAAGAAGATAGCCAGCGAAAAATACAATCAGTTTTAAACGAGGGGTAAATCGCTGACCAAAATCGTGTACAGCAGTGCCCACTAATGTCCTAGTGAGCATTACTCTATCTTATTATCTTATTTTATTTTATTTTATCCTTATAATGCCCCAGCAAGGCTTAATGCCCAACAAATGCCTACACGGAAAAAATGTTCTCTTAAAATTTATCCTGAAAATCACGTGATCGTGGGACAACGTGGCATTTTGAAAAATTTCATGAGTTTTTTGGAAATTTTACTAGTAAATTCTTTGAAATGCCACGTTGTTCCACGATTATGATTTTCAGGATAAACTGGAGAAAAAGTTTTTTGTTAATTTTAAACGTACAAGAGAAGCTTATTAGGTTCGCATCTGTCGTTCTTTCACATCAAATTTTTTCATGAGAAGAAAAACGCAAGGAAAGGAATTCGATCTCTCGATTAAGTTTCTTCGGATAAGGACGCAAGACCTTTGTTTCGAAGTGTCAACGTTTTCGCGGCCAAGACTGGGACGCGTTTTCGCGGGAAATCGCGGGAGATGCGAGATGCGAGATGCGAGACGCGAGAAAAGGCGCGATCAGCCGCGCGCGATAGGCAGCCGGTTGCCGCAGCGCGACGTAGCACAGAGGTCCCCGGACCCCGGGGCCCGCACTATGTCGTCTGTAAATTCTTCCGAGATGACAGTGCGCCGCGGCTTGCATTATCTGATACACACGAGTGCCGTGGCGGGAGGGCAGCGACCGGCAACTCGTTTACTCTTTTAACGTCGGCGCGCGTAAGTCAGCCTTAATTGTTTGACGCCGGCGGAACGACGCGATCTATCGCTCTCGGTCCGTTAAGGGATCCAGAGCGGGGGGGGGAGGACCCTTAAGGGCTCGGACGTAGAGCCGCGAGAGATCCGCGCGATCGATAATCGATATAATCGACAGCGAATGCGCCGCGCGTCACCGCCGAGATCGTGGAATCGCGCAAACGCCCGGGGATATCTCTCGTTTGGACTTTTAAGTCCGCATTTATTTATGATCGCCAGCGCGAATTCTCTTTTCGAAGAAATCGATAATGGTGATTAAGCGGGGATACAAATGATTGCGGGTTAAACGATGGCCGAGGATGAACGCCGTTGTTTCGTAGTGCGGTTTCCATCGATCGTTAAATCGGAGTTGTTAATGTTCTTTTAATAATATAGCGGGTCTTCGTAGTTATTTTAGCATGCGAAGCGTATAAATCATGCCAATTTATTATCAAAGGTTCAAGCAAAAGTTTAATTATAGAGCATAGCGAGATTGTAATGATATTTACAATTTTCCAGCGAACTTCAAGCACCGGCTACGAATACACTGACGGTTTTGCACGATATAGTTAGTACAGTATGCCGTAACGTATGGAATACGCTTAGTCTTCAAGACATAAAAAGGTAATTATTTAGATTAACACACCCACCTCCAATAACCTTGGGCTTGACATATATTATAGAGGTC